GAAATGTCCAAATTGCTGCAGTTTCTGCGATTAGAAAGGTAGCTGGAAATTGGGTGACTACAAGAAAAATAAAGCAAGGTATTTTCAGAAGGAGAGGACTCCCTCAAAAACAGGGAGAAGACTTGAGGTGGAAGGACTATGTTGTAAATTTTATGATGGTGGAAGGTGTTGTGGAAAATAGACTGATGATATGGAAGACTAGATCCAGAGAGCCTTATAGAGAAAGGACAGGACATTCATCACACAACGCAGGGGTGAGGGTGAGAGGGAAGAGAGAGTGATCCTTAAAACAATAATTCTAAGCACATCAGACAGAAAAATTTTGCTTGCATGTATGTGTTTTCTTTTCCAATAAGATCGATCCTCCATATTTTTGCAGAGGGCTACTTAAGATAACATGCTTTTAATTTTGCCATTCCAAGCCATTGTCATGGAGGCCACTGTTGTCATTTTGAATAGCTTTATTACATGTGGGTTTTTTTAAAAAACTTGAGCCTGAGGGTGATATTTAATGGTTCCTTACAATTTTTGACTACTATGTTTCTGTCTTGTGCCTGGGTTTACTCCATTTTCCCCTTTTTTTTCCTTCCTCTCCTCTGGTTTCACCAGAAACCTGTCTTGTTCTGAACCAACAATGTGGCAGATAAACATTAAAAGTCTTAAACCCGACCAGACCACGTTAACAGCAGGGAGGCTATCCCCTGTGTCCTGGTTAGTAGCTATCCCTCAATCAATATCAACAAAACAGCTTATCTGGCCATGTAACTCATTGCTACTTATGGAATTTTATGGATATTAGGGGAATATCAATTAACTCAGGACTTTGGGGCTGGAAGAAATTGGGAAGGAGTGAGGTGTTGAAGTGATTTAAAGGGAAGGTTAGAGTTTTACAATTGTGCTGTCTCTCTTAATCCGGGCTATTTTGAGACAAATGAATACAGATGCATTCATCCTCTCTTCCTGTGATTTACATGATGAAACAATAGTATTTGGGATTTATACGGGTTTGCAGAGGGTAGATTGTAGGGTACCAGCGAGGAATGCTTTGGACCCGGCAAGTGTAAAGGTAACAAGGGCACAGATGAGAGCCTTTGCAATGAGAGAGTGAAGTTGACTGTTCAAGGTAGAAGTAAAGTTGTGTGACTGAATTTAGAAGCTCAGCTCAGCATCAAGATTGACAGGATCAACACTTGCTGCCCATCTCTAATTGTTATTGAAGGTGGTGGTGAGCCATCAACTTGAAACTGTGCAGTCCTTAGTGTAGGAAAATCCACAAGAGCTGTAATGAAGGCAGTTCTAGGATTTTGACATGGCACTTGCAACCATCCTGACTTGGAATGATGTGCAGGGGCCAGGACCGAAATTGGGTGGCGGGGCAGTGGCAGAGGGGGCGGCGAGGTTTCTGGTCCTCCTGTTCCAGAACCCCTGACCTGTGTACGGTGGGACTTGCTGAGAGCCCAAGGACCTGATGTACCTCCTGGCACTGTCCCAGTCCCTAAATAAGACTTGGAGGTGTACTTGCAGGTGGTGGTGTTCCTGTGCATCTACTGTCCCTGTTTTATTTTCCTCTTTTAGAATTAGAATTAGCTTTATTGTCACATGTACTCGCTGAAAAGTTTACAAGTTGTGCCATCTCGGGTGCGTAGGTAGATTCTGAAGTACAAATTCTTTAGGGGGAGAAAATAAAAATTCAAAATTAGAGAAATAAGAGTTCAGGTTAGCAGTCCTTTGAAAAATGGTAGTGATCTTGCATTTTCGAAGAGCCATCGAATGGGTCTTGGAAAGCAGGAAAGGGCAGCAGATCTCCTTCACTACAAGACATAGCGAATGAGAGGTTTTTACAACAGTCAGAACTTGGGTGACTACTGCTTTACTGATGCTAGCTCTTATGTCCAAGCTTCATTTCATTAATGGTAATTTTATTGACAAAAAGTTTAAATTCTTTAGCTGTTCTGCTGACATTTACCATGAATCTTCCAGAGTTGGGAGTGTAACAGTGATGTTACTTGACTACTGTGCTGATGTTGGTGTTTTGTATGTCTGCATCTTTTTCATTGTGATGACTGCTGGTGAAACTTTATCCAGACCAAAATTAGATCTCTAGCACAAGCATTGGTGAATGGTATGGATTTGTACCTGCATTAAAGTTGTTTTGATTTTAAATACTCTAATGGAACTAAATGGGTACACCAGGTGTCAATGGCAGTTTCAGAAGCTTTCAATAGCTTTGAAATGTGTCAAAAGTAGGCAATTTACCTCCTTAAAGGAAAATAAATACAGCACACGTGATTCCAAGGCATGTGTTAGTTAAAGACAGGCAGACTGATTGTCTCTATTTTCCACGTGGCATTGGTTGATGTGTGACACAACAACTTGTCATACATAGGCAGTTTATTTGATTAATGACACCTAAGGCACGTTCAAAATCCAAATGGACACTGATCTGTTTTAAGGTAATAGGGGGCAGATGACCAAGAACTTGGTCCTGTAAATGCTAACTGTCTTCTGATACTTGACACTAATTTCAGACATGAAGGTTTTTGTTTTGACAATTATGGACCAATGATGTAGGCAGTCCGAACCCCTCTTCCACCATTTTTAATAGTGAAATTAATTATCAAAGGTAACAAAGGATGAACACTAAATTCTAGCTCAGCCAGTGACATCCATATCCCACAAGTGAATGTGAATTAAAATTGATGACTACCTATTTACATCTTTGCAGAGAGGTCTTCAGACCTTCCTTCTGAATGCCAATGCCTTTGCTTGATACTTGGTAAAATACTGCCTAGCTGAACCGAAAGGGAAACTGTAGGCAATAGTTAGGATATCTGCCTTCTGTTCACCAGCTTTATGAACATTCAAAGCATAGAATGATTACTGCACAGAAGATGGATGGGTATATCAATAGGAAGGGTTTGGAGGGATATGGGCCAAATGCTGGCAAATGGGACAAGATTAATTTGGGCTATCTGGTCAGCGTGGACAAATTGGACTGAAGGGTCTATTTCTGTGCTGTAAAACTCAGTCTGATGCCGTTTGGTCCTCGGTTTCTGTTCTGGATCCTGACATTGACCCCTAGGGTGCTTCAGTCCAAAATACAATAGTTATCCACTTGTCACTCAGCCAATTCCATTGCCATGTTGTAACCATCCCTTTTGTTTTTAGTTCCACGAGCTTTAATTTTGCCCATGTCTGTCCAATGCTATTGCGTTTTTTTGGATTCCAATGTACACCACTATTAATGGTATAGTGCATTGAGTATAGGAGTTGGAATGTCCTGTTGCTGCTGTACAGCTCATCAGTTAGGCCACTTTTGGAATACCATGTTCAGTTCTGGTCTCCCTTCTATAGAATAGACATTGGGAAACTTGAAAGGGTTCAGAAAAGGTTTACAAAGATGTTGCTGTGGTTGGAGAGTTTGAGCTGTGGGGAGAGGCTGAATAGGCTGGAGCTATTTTCCCTCGAGTGTCAGAGGCTAAGGGGTGACGTTTATAGAGGTTAATAAAATCATGAGGGGCATAGATAGGGTGAATAGCCAAGGTCTTTTTTTTCCCCCAGGGTAGGAGAGTCCAAAAATAGAAGGTATAGATTTAAAGTAAGAAGGGAAAGACTTAAAAGGGACCTGAGGGGCAAATGTTTCAAAGGGTGGTGTACAGGTGGAATCAGTTGCAGGTGGAGGCTGTACAGTTACAACATTTAAAAGGCACCTGGATGGGTATATGAATAGGAAGAGTTTGGAGAGATATGGGACAAATGCTGACAAATGGGGACTAGATTAATTTTGGATATCTGGTTGGCATGGTCAAGTTGGACCAAATGGTCTGTTTCTGTGCTGAATCTATTTCCCTCTATCTTCTCTGATGGATCAACAGAACAAATGTGAATGGAATTTTAAATGCTATTTTTTTTCCTCCAGAAATCTGTGCTATATGCTCCTAAAGGGTCACTGGCAAAATGTGGATTCGTTAATTTTATCCCAAATCATTGTTTCAAAAAGATTTCCCACTATTCAACTGTACCGGAGATGGTAACAGTAGATTAGGAAAAGACTGGTAACACTGATAAGTCAGTACAAACTGAGAATATTTGATCTCCAACAATTAAATAAGGAAGAAAATCTAGGGTGTCTTTGAAAGGAAAAAAAAACAACTCATGCCCTTTGGAATACGTGTGAAATGTATCCCCCGAAAGTCACTGGTTAACAGTTCAGCTAATGTGAAAATATTGACTCGACTTTGTGTAGCTTCCAGTATTCCCCCTTCCTATTCAACTTTTGTTTTTAAACCTTTAAGGTTCAGGTTAATTTTAAAGCCTTTTCACGTCTGAAAACTGTCTTTTTTAAAAAAATACCATATAGGCTGAGACATTTAATTTCCAATTTTCAATTTCTGTTTCAAAAAGTTATATAATTTACTTCAGATCAAGCACAACGCTGCTTTATTAGGATTGAACATCAGCATATTTAGGATTTTAGAATGCTGATTCCTATTCTTTAAACTATAGGACACTGACTTTTATGTCAAATATTCTAAATTCTGATCCGTAGTTAACCTCTCTGTTCAAAGTGGAGCCGGGCTGCAAGCGTATTTACAAGACTCATTCATGATTTTCTTCTCCTCCCATCCCCCACAGTCCCTCTGATTGCTATTAGCCACAAACCCATACAGGTGCTTTTGTGCTTGTAGCCGTTTAAGCTTTGCAATCCACCTCGCATCAATCATTTGATTTTTGAATTGAAAGCTTTTTATGTTTTGAGCAGTTTCCTGAGAGAGTATGCATTTTCTGCTCAAAATTGCAATAGTTTTGAAACGTGAGCGCACGCTGTATCTTGTCTGAGTAACCGTTTTTAAATCAAATGGATTTGTTTTGCAGTAGATTTCTGCTGGAAAGTCTTTGTTATCCAGCACCAGTTTGGAAGCGAACAGCCTCCAGGAGGATGACACACTTAATGTTAGATCTCGTGTAAGCAAAATGATGAGCACCAATCAGTCTTTCAAACAGACTACACGTTTGCTGGAATAACAAGAAAGCTTGTGATCCATTTGATTTGTTTCTGTTCTGTAGACCAGGAGAGTCACAGCAGTCTGCTCTGATGTCCCTGGGGAATCAGATATCCTTTTGGGCTGTAAGCTGTTTCTATGGGAACAGAAACTATAGATGCACTACATTTTTATCTTTTTCTATTTATAAACTAATTCTGCAGTGTGTAATTAATCCTTTTATGTTTCTCTCCCTCCCCCCCAACCCTCTTTTTTTTCTCTTCCAGAAAAACAATTGCACTGTTTCAAAGCTTCAGCTGGGTAAGATTTGCATTCTCGTGTGCCTGTGATGGATTTTCTCCCCCTGTCTTATTAAAACTGCACAATGAAAGCCATTCACACGATTGAGAAGCTGACTGACAATATCACCGAGAAGTGTTTCCTGCCTTGTGTGGAGAAAGCTGCCGAACTGTTTGCTCACAGACCAGGCAAGGGGGCGAGCTGCACTGAGCATGCCTCAGAGGAGGGGACCACATTATGCAAAGAGACTGCAACAGCAGATGGGAGAATCTCCGGCTCCGAGCTCGCGTTTGTTTTCTCCGCATCCCCGGGAGCTACTGCTGCTGGAGGCTGCAGGCGGGAGGCCGGGCATGGCTTGAGGGCGAAGGGCTTCTGGCCATTCGCTAACATGGGGAACCAAGACGGCAAGCTGAGGAAAGCGGCGGCTGCGGGAGATGGCCAAGAATGGGCGGAGGATGCTTGCGCCCGGGATGTTGCTGAGAGCACCAAGAGCAGGAAAACGCACCCCAAGCACGGCAAGGGGGGCGACGGAGGCGGCAAGAAGAAGAAATCCGACTCCACCCGCTCGGTCTTCTCCATCAGGAAGAGGAAAGCGGCGGCGCGGGGTAAAAATGAGGCCTGCGGCTCTCGGGATGATGATGCCGAGGAGATGGCGAGGCGGGCCCCTCCGAGCGAGGAACTGGATAGCGTCCACTCAGTGACAAAGACTCTGGACATCAGCATCTCAGCGGACGATGAAGGGGGGTTGACCGACACCGAGGCCGAGCATCCGGACATCCTGACCGGTGACAGCCTCCAGGCCGGCTCCGTGTTCCGGGGGGTGGTCAGTTCCAGTTCGGACACGGACGGGTACAGTTTCCACTCGGCGGCGGAACACGAGGACCTGCTGTCGGACATCCAGCACGCCATCGGGCTGCAGCTCGCCTCCTTCCCGGCGGGCGGCCAACCCGCGGGGGCAAAGCAATCAGAGGCTGGTGCTAGTCCGGGCCGAAGAGGAGAGGATGTCGCCTGGGGATGCAGCTCCTCCCCTCTCCCCAGCCGCGGGGGAGGCACGGAGAGGCAGAGGAGGGTTTCCATAGAAACTGCCTCCGAGGTCGAGGTACCCTCCGGTCCTGCCTCATTCATTGATGGCCCAGAGCATCCTCCAGCCTGCCCCACAGAGGAGTCCACTCCATCCTTGGCTGGCAGCGAAGCCGGTGCTGATCAGACCGAGCTGCGGGAGGAGGGGGACGGCGGTGCGGACACGGTGCTGCCGCCTGATGCTCGAGTCTTCCCCGACAGCCGTCTCCCGGCCCCGAGCTCCGACTCCCTCCGCAAGCACAAACCCTACCCGGGCTCGGCGCTGACTGCGGTCAGGTCGTACCCGCCGGTCAATGCTATCTTCGTGAGGACCACCACCAGGCAGCTGAGCTCCCCGAGTCACTCGCCGTCCGCTTCGCCTTCTCAGAGCCCCCTGATCCAGAGGAAGCGCCGAGCCTCTGACCTGAAGCGGAGCGCCGGCCGGCGGCAGAGACTCCCCAGGGGCACGGGCTCCCTCAGCCGCTCCGCTGACTGGACCGAGGAGGTGAAACCACGCAGGGAGCGGGATATCAGGAAGGCAGGCTCCGTGGATACTCTACAACAGTCTGAACCCTCTGGAACTCCACTTCTGGGACCTATCAAAAGGCCTTCACTCTCTACCAGCAGATACCCGGAGATCTTCACTGGTAAGTGTTTTTGACTTTAATTCTATTACTGCGCCAGCTTCCTCTGTCCCATCAATTTCACTTGTGGCACGTTTTAAAGTCTGTCTCTAAACTGAAGTTATTCTTTTTTTTGTATGCTCTAGAATCCACCAGCCATCCAATAAGGGATGGGAATTTTCTATCTCAAATAGAAAGATGACACTTCATTTAACAAGAAGTCATTAGAATCCCTACAGAAGAGCATCCCACCTCCCCAAGCCCACCCCTGTAACCCTGCACTCCCCGTGGCTAATCAATGCATGCACACCATAGGCAATTTAGCACATCCAACCCCACCTAACCTGCACATCTTTTGGACTGTTGGAGGAAACTGGAGCACCCTGAGGAAACCACGCAGGCACAAGAATGTGCAAACTCCATACAGTCGCCCAAGGCCAGGATCGAACCTGTGTACCTGGCACTGTCAGGCAGTAGTGCTAGCCATTATGCCACCCCATTTCAATGGTTATCTTTGGATTCTGAGAGAGCATATTCATTTGGGCTGGATTTAATAATGAGACTTTGAAGGTGGCACCTTCGTCTTCCCTACCCTCATGGCAATGATAAAAGTAACAGGAGAGATTCATGCCAAACAGCCCACACATTGACCTGCGAGATTAAATAAGAGTGGTTAAAAATTAAAGAATTGCAGATGCAGTAAATCAGGAACAAAAACAAAGTTGTTAGAAAAGCTCAGCAGATCTGGCAGCATTTCTGAAGAAAAGTCAGAGTTAACATTTTGGGTCCAGTGACCATTCCTCAGGACTCGTGGTAGCTCGGACAATGTTGGTTTGTATGCAGAAGATACGGTGGGAGGAGGGGTTATGTGTGAACAAGAGGTGAGGATAGAGCCCAAAGAGAGTGATTAACAGTTGGACAGACAGAAGTTGATTACGATCTAGCTAGGAGGGTGAATAGCTGCAAATGGGCACTGTTAGTGACTAACAATAGGTAGTGTGTAATGGCAGGCTATGTGATAACAAGGCCTGGTGTGTGGGCTAGGGGGCTAGGACATGGGAGAGTTCAGGCCCTAAAATTATTGAACTCGATTTCTTGTCTAGAGGGCTGCAGGATCGCCAAGCAGAGAGAGGTGTTGTTCTTCCAGCTTGCACTGAGCTTCACTGGAACACAGCAGCAAGCCTATGACAGACATGTTGGCCAAGGAATAGGGTGGTGTGTTAAAGTGGCAGGCAACTGGAAGCTTAGAGATAGTAGGAACTGCAGATGCTGGAGAATCCGAGACAACAAGGTGCAGGGCTGGATGAACACAGCAGGCCAAACAGCATCATAGGAGGAGCAACTGGAAGCTTAGGGTCGTTTTGTATGTAAAGCATCCTAACATGATTAAATATTGCAGTTCTGATGTAATCTAGAGCCCAGCAAAGCCATGGGTGCATCCCAGCTTTCATCGCACTTACTTTAAATCAAGATATTGCATTCACTTAATTAAATTTTTCTTGTTAGTTGGAATCTTTCCTTGTCAATATACTTGGATTGCATGTGGGTTTGACCATCCCTGCTATTGGAAGGAGAAAGATTTTGGTATCTAGCATTGGGTAGGTCACTTTAACTGTTCACAACATAGCTAAAGATTCCTTTTTAAGATGATGTGGAAAGGTGCTAACTGCTGGTATCATCTTGGCACCCTGGCTACCCTTGGGATGGGGTTTGGTTGCTACTGTCACTTGGCGCACATCCTATAGGGAGTTTGCCCAGGTATGATGTGCTAGATTCTGAATGGTAACCAGACGTGTTATAGGATGGATCTATATCTGTCATGTCCACAAAAGCTTGATGGTCTTGGAAGAGAGAGAAACTTCTTGCCATGTTAGAGGAACAAATGACTCAAATGCTTCATGTTGATTGAATTTGCTTTGAGGATACCTGGTTTAAAAAGCTTGGAACTTGAATGCAGGGTAGTTAATAACGTGTCATTATTTAAGCAAGGCTACAAGGAAAAGCCAGGGAACTACAGACTGCTGTGCCTGGCGTCATTGCTGGGTAAGTTGTTAGAGGGAATCCTGAGTGATGGGATCCACGTGCCTTTTATAAAGAAAGGCTGGGATTTATTTTACTGGGGCATAGGAGGTTGAGAGGTAACTTTACAAAAGTTAAAATATTGGGGGGCATAGATAAAGTTAATAATAGTTGTCTTCCCCTCCTGTTTTGTTTTCTCCCCCATGATGGGGGATTTAAAGACTAGGGGACACCTTTTTTGAGGTGAAAGGAGAGAGATTTTAAAAAAGACATGATGGGCAAATTTTTTTTGTACAGGGTGGTTTGTCTGCAGAATGAACTTCCTGAGGAAGTGGTGGATGCAGATACAGTTATTTTTAAATAATGTTTGGAAAAATGCATGAATAGAAAGATTTGGAGGGAAATGCACCAGGAGCAGGTGGGTGGGACTAGTTTAGTTTGGGATTGTGTTCAGTGGGACTGAAGGGTCTGTTTCCGTACTATTTGACTCTATGACTGATGCCTCTTAAGTGTGGGAAATCATGTTTCACTAACTTGATTTTGAAGATTTTTTTTTTGAAGTGACCAAGATGGTAGATGAAGGCAGAGTGGTAGACATTGTATCTACGTGGACTTTAGCAAGGCCTGCGAGGTATTATACTTTAGACTGGTTAGTAATGATCCAGGGAGAGCTCGCCAATTGGATACAAAATTAGCTTGATAGTAAGAGATGGAGAGGATAGTGGTGGAAGGTTGTTTCACTGACTGGAGGCCTGTGATCAGCAGAATGCTGCAAGGATCAGTGCTGGGTCCACTGTTGTTCCTCGCTTGTAAATAATTTGGATGAGAACATACGAGGCATGGTTAGCAAGTTTGTAGGGGCTTCCAAAATTGGTGATGTAGTGGCTAATGAAGAAGGTTATCAAAGATTACAAAGAGATCTTGTTCAGTTGGGCCGGTGGGTCGAGGAGTAGCAGATGGAGTTTAATTCAGATAAATGCAGTGTTGCAATTCAGTAAGACCAATGAGGACAGGACTTGCACAGTGGGTTGTAGGGCCTGGGCAGTGTTGCTGACCAGAGAAACAGAGGGGTGCGTGGGTTCCTTGAAAGTGATGTTGGAGGTAGACAGGGTTGTGGGGGGAGAAAAGGCATTTGGTATGTTTGCATTCATTGGTTAGAGCATTGAGTACAGGAGTTGGGATGTCATGTTACAGCTGTGCAGGCATTGGCAAGGCCACATTTGGAATACTGCGTACAATTCTGTCTGCCCTGCTACAGGAATAATTTATTAAGTGGTGCAAATAAGATTTACAAGGATTTTACCAAGACTGGAAGGCTTGAGTTTTAAGGAGAGGCTGGGATGACTTCCCTTGGAGCATCGGAGGCTGATGTGTGACCATGTAGAAGTTTATAAACCAATCAGGGGCATAGATATGGAGAATTTCCAAGGGTCAGGGAGTCCAAAACTAGAGGGTGTAGGTTTAAGGTGGGAGGGGAAGGTTTAAAAGGAACCTGAGGGTCAACTTACTCACAGAGGGTGGTAGGTTGATGGAACAAACTGCCAGAGGAAGTGGTACGGACAAGTATAATCATATTTTGAAGACGTGTGGACAGACACATTGATAGGAAAGGTTTGGCAGGATATGGTCCAAATGTAGGTAAATGGGACTTTTTCAATTTAGGAAACCTAGTTGGCATGGGTGAGGTAGGCTTAAGGGTCTGATTCTGTGACTGTGTGTATGTCGGAGGTAAGATCAAATTGTGGATGAGCCATGAACAAGAATAAAATTAACAAATTCGCAATATTGAGGGAGAACTGTTAGGTCAGTGCAAAGGATAGCTGCCAGCTTTTTATCAAAAGGTGACACAGCAATGCAGTATTTATCCTACCAAGAAGACAACTCTTGTTCCACATCTTACCTAGACCAATTGTGTTTACAGCACCAAAAGAAGGTCATTTTGATCTGTTTTACTTGTGCTGGTCAGCAGATATCTAACTACCACCATTTTACAGCTCTTGGCCCATAGTCCTGGAGGTTATGGCAACATAAGCGAATATCAAAACACTGTAAACGTTACAAGAGTTTCTGACGTGACCACCCTTTTGGGCAGTGATTTATTTTTTTCCAGGTTCCCACCACCCATGTGTGTGCCGGGTAGGGGGAGGTGGGCAGCGGGGAGGAATTCTTGCCAAATCTCCTCTGAGCTTTTTTGTTTTGGATTCAGTCTGTGGCCTGTTTATTGAATCCTTCCCTAATGGAAGAGGTGAGTTGGAAGGCACCTTTATCTATTCATTTCAAGCTTGTCCACCTCTGTCAAGCTGCCTCTTCAAATTCAGTGCTTCAAGGAAAGTGAGCCCAACTCATTCAGGTTTTTCCTAGTAGCTCCGGCCCTCCACCCAGGCAGCATGCTGGTAAATCTCTGGTGCAATCACATTTTTACCATAATGTGGTGACCAGAAACACTGCGAGTATTCGGCTGTGGTCTGACTAGCATTTTATACAATGCCAGCATAGCCTCCCTACTCCAGTTAGCTGAGGCATAGAATACGAGTATTTCATAGGTTTTAATAACCACTTTATTAGACCTGTGGGCTTGTATGGTCCACACCTCCTGTGATTTCTTGTGTTCTTATGCCCATATTAGTGGGACAGTCTCTGACTTAACATTTAACTCCTAAGAATTTCTACCAAATAAGGATCATGGTTACCAGGTCTTGGATACCCAGATGATCCAGGAGGATAAATGATCCATTGTTTGTTTGTTGGGCGTGACCACAAACCTGATGCATTTCTCTGAAGAGGGACAGAAGGCAGCAGTGCTAAAAACAGAGATGCAGTTTGGGAAGTGGATCAGGGTGTCATAACAGAATTCTCCCCATGTCGGCATGGGTTTCCTCTGGGTGCTCTGGTTTCTTCCCACAGTCCAGAGATGTGCAGGTTGCGTAGATTGGGCAATTTAGCATGGCCATAGTTCCAAAGATGTGTAGGTTGGTTGGATTAGCCACGGGAAATGCAGGGTTACAGAGATAGGGTAGTGGGGGTATGTCTGGGTGGGATGGTCTTTGGAGGGTTGGTGTGGACTTGTTGAGCCGAATGGCCTGTTCCCACGCTGTAGGGATTCTATGAATTTATTCCATCACCCTGATACCGACAGAGATGTGTGGAAATGCACACCAAAGTCTCTCTGATCTTTCATACTTTTCAGGGTCCTAACATTCGTTGTGTAATTCCTCTGTCTTGCTCGTCTTCCAAGTGAGTTACCTCTGATTTTTATCTTCCTTGTGTTGAATTCAATTTGCCACTGCTCTGGCTGCCTGACCAGCCCATTGATATGCAGTTTATGGCTCTCCTCCTTGCTATCGCGCAGTCAACTCTTGTGTCATCCGCAAACTCCCTTGATCATACCTCAAGTTTTAAGTCAGAATTGTGTGCTATTTGCAGCACGACAAATAGCCAGAGCTCAAGGCACCAGGTCCTGCGGAGCTCCACTGGAAACAGACTTCCAGTCACAGGATTATCCTTCTGCTATCACCTGCAAGCTGCCTCTCAGCCAAATTTTGGATCTAAATGCCACTTTACCTCTGATTCCATGAGCTCTTACTTGACCAGCCTGTCATTAGGGACCTTTATAAAAAGATTTGCTAGGATCCATGCAAGCCACGTCAATATATTACCCTCCTCAAAACTCCTTTGGTGGGGTGACGGGGGAAGTCACTGATCAAATTTTCAAGCACAAATTTGCCTTGTGAAATCACTAAAATCATGACTGACTATTCCGGGTTAATCTGCATCATTCAAAGTTAGATCTGTTGTGCGCCTTAAAATTCTTTCTAATAACTTTCCCACCATCCAGGTTAGACTGAGTGTCTGTAATTTTTTTTGGTCCATCCCTCTTCTTTAAATAGGACAACGTTAGCAGTCCTTCAGTCCTAATGCACCTCGCCTGTAGCCAGAGAGGATTTGAAAGTTACTGCCAGGGCCCCTGATCTCTCCTCCGTTGCCTCCTTTAACCAACTGGAACACATTTTTATTCAGACCTGCACATTATTCGCTTAAGACTGCTAAAACTGTTCATGCTACCTCCTTTCTCTTTCATTTCTTCTCATGTTTCACAGCCTTCCACCTTTTTGTTGTCTGCACCTGCACTGGTCGTCATAATGTAAAAAGAACAATGAAAACCATGCATTAAGAACTGTATCTGCATCTTGCCTGGATGTCTGTGTAGGTTACCTCTTATGGTCCTCGCTCCTTTTTCTTTCCCTCCCTGTTTATTTTCTGGCACTTTTTTTTTAATGCATTTAGAAACCACGTTTTGGAGTTTTCCTTTTATTCTGCCTAACAATGTTTTCACTATAACTTCCATAGTATCCTTTTCCATTGTGCTGATATGTCATCATTGATTCTGCAGTCTGATCCCACCCTTTTAACGTTGACAGGAAGGTATCACATGAAGCCAAGTTGATATTTGATGGATGTAAATTGCACATCAGTGTTTTATAACCTCTCCCCATTTTAAGAAATACTGCAAGTCTGTTTTTCTGAAGAAACTAGATAGCCTCTCATTTTCCACACTGCTCCACCTGCCATGTTAATTTTTATATTGTGAACAACTGGGATCCAAGTGTGGATCCTTGCGTTACCCCACTAATCACAATCTCCCAACATGAGAATGACCTATTCATTCCTACTGTTTACTATTTGCTAGCTCGTCATCCATGCCAGTACATTTACCTCCCATCCCATGTGCTTTAATTTTACCAACCACTGGTAGGGGACCTCATCAAAAGTTTTCTAATAATCGAAATATACGACATCCACTCATTTGGGTGGATGGCTGGTTTGTGATGCAGCGAAGCCAAAAGCATGGGTTGCTGGCTGAGGTTACCATGAAGACTTTCCTTCTCTGCATCTTCCTGTGCCGGAGGTGTGGTGACCGTCTGGTTAAAACACCACCAGTTGTCTCTCTCTATCTGCGAGCAGCCCTATAGCCTGGTAAGAATCTGGTGACTTGACATTTCATGTACTATATCCATCAACTCCCTTTATCAGTTTTGTTATTACTCTCCCCAAAAAAAAAACTTTTCATTCACAAATTCCATTCTGTGCTGACTATGCCCAATCAGAACACTTCTTTTATCCACCTAGCACATCATTCTGATGGACTTGAGCATTTTCCATACTACTAATGTAAAGCTCAGTCTGTGGTTTTTTGTTTCTGACCACTTTATCAAATATAGGGTGATATTTGAAAGCTTCCAATCTGCAGCAGTCATTCCAGAATCAATGGCATTTTGAAAGACCATAACCCAGTGCATTGACTTTCTCTGTTGCAACCACCTTTTTCAGAATTCAGGGCTGTAGCTGTAGACCAGGCAGTAGACCCTGGTGACTTGGCCAACTTTCATCCCATTAATTTCTCCAGTACAACATTCTTACTGATGATAATTTCCTTCAACCTTGTTTTCTGATGTGGAGATGCTGGTGTTGGACTGGGGTGGACAGAGTCAGAAGTCACATGACACCAGGTTATAGTCCAACGGGTTTATTTGAAATCGGAGGCTTTCAGAGCTTGATGAAGGAGCATTGCTCTAAAAGCTTGTGATTTCAAATAAATCTGTTGGACTCTAACCTGGTGTCATGTGATTTATGACTTCATCCTCTGTAGTTATTGAATCTCAGTCTGGAAGATTTCTTGTACCTGCAGCATCTGAAATTTCTTGCTGACCGTCTGCCTGCACAGACCACTAGGTTTCTGGATATGTTAAGATCACTGTACAGTTAGGTCAGGATTTGACTGAAGGCATTTGATAAGATATCTTACATTAGGCTATTTTAATAAAATAAGAGCCCGTGCTGTTGAAGGTAGTACATTCCAATGGATAGAGAATTGGCTAACTATTGGGTAGAGAATGGGGTAGTTGCCATGATGGCTACCTGTACCTACTAGAGTACCAGAGGGATCATTGCTGGGGATGCAATTGTTTTACAGCAAATATTATTAATGATCAGGGTGAGAAAAATGAATGTTCAATACCCATGATTGCAGATGACACACAAATAAGTGGGAAGACAAGTGTGAGGATGATACTGTTTGCAAAGGGATACTGACCAGTTAAGCAAGGGGGCAGAAACTTGGCAAATGGAATATAATGTGGCGAAATGTGAGTTGATGTAATTTGGCAAGAAGAAGAGAGGAACTGAATTGTATTTTAAAAGGAGAAAGATTGCAGAAAGTTATGGAACAGACGGATTTAGTAGTCCTCATTCATGAATCACTAAAGCTAGCATCTTAAATCAGCAGGTAATGGGGAAAGCAAATGGAATGCTGTTATTTATTTCAAAAGGAGTGGATTTTAAAAGTAGGGAGGATGTTGATAAAACTATGCAAGACACTTGTCAGACCACAGCTGGTATACTATTGCTTGTTGGTTTGTTTTTTGGGGCCCCTTTTCCAAGGAAGAGATCCTGGCATTGGAGACAGTACAAAGGCTGATGCCAAGATTGGAAGGACTGTTATGAGATGTTGAGTAGATTGGACCTGTAGTCTTTAGAATTTTTGAAGAATGAGAGAGAACCTTTATTGAAACGTACAAGATTCTTGGAGCACTTGACAGGGTAGATGCAGAAAGGCTGTTCCCAGCAGGTGTCATCTGAGAATAAGGTGTCACACATGTAAGATAGACAAAAATGGTGAATCCGTGGAATTCTTTACTGCAGAGGGTTTTGAGGCCATGTCATTAAGTATGTTCAAGCCTGAGATGGACACATTTAAAATCGGTAACAAAATCAAGAATTATAGGGAAAATGCATGAAAGTGGAGTTGATTGCCAGGTCAGCCAGGATCCCATTTGAATGGCAGAGCCGACTCGATGGGCTGAACAGCCTGCCTGTGCTCCTACATCTTGTGACCTTATGGACTGGAAGCAATAGATCAAAAAAGATGTTTATGTAGTAGCTTTTCCAGAAATATTCAGTTCTGTAAATTTCTACAGAGAGGAACAGTTATGATTTCAGGCAAATAAATTGTCGTCATCAGAACAATGTGAAGTTTGAAGCAGGATGGGTGTTTAGCAAGTGAATAGGTAGAGCAGGAGGAAGAATGAAAAGTTAAATGACTGACTCAGCAATTCATCTTGGTGAGTAGAGAAATGAGGTGAGAATGGCAGGATAGCTGCCTGAACACAACATGAAGAGAAATGAATCCCAGCAGGGGGGATCAAAATGTGGAGGATGTGATCTGAAATTGTGCAGTTATGTTTGAGTTTGAGAATAGCCTGTTCCTCAAGCTTGTATTTGAGCTTTGTCGGAATATTCTGGCCTTGCTGTCCAGGGGCAGCTGTAGTGGGGGCAGTGGAGAATTAATGACGAGGTGGTAAAGCTTTGGGTCTGGCAGTCTGAACAGAGGTGTCCATGAAGCAGTCAGCCAACCTGAATTTGGTTCTCCATTGTAGAGGAAACCATGTTGAATTCAATGCAAGTTGATTCTGCTTTCCTGTATATAGCTGGCTTATACCAGGCCACAATCTGAAGAGAAAAGGTATCAGCAGTGGCTGCATCTCCTCCTGTACTTGAATGGGAAATGCCATAGGAAAGGGAGGCATTTCTATGGGTTGACTGAGGATTGATCCAGGATGTTGCAGAATGAATGCTCCCTTCAGAGTGTGAAGAGAGGGAGAAGTAGAAGATCCACTTGGTGGATCTGGTGAAATAAAGGATGATCTAATTGCTGTCATCTTCCACTGCAGGACAAAAAGAGAACGGTTTTACAGGTAGTTCTCCTGTAACGTGATAGTTGCATTCTTGTGTTACCTTGCGCTGTAGAAAATCATGTCATTAAGAAAGTGCTATATAAGATCGCTGTACCTGTACAGCAGAAAGTTCACATTATCCAAACAGCGTTTCCTATTCATCAATCATGTTACAGCCATTTCGCGTTAATGAAACGCTCGTTATAGCAGAACCACCTGTATTGCAATTCTGGGAGGAAGGAGGAATAGGGAGAGCAAAAGTGTGCCAAAGATGCCCATCCACTCTATCTGATTTATCAACAGTATTTGGGAGGGGCGGGGGGTGGGAGGTGGGGAGGGTGCAGGTGGAGAGACGGTGCAGAGAGGAGTCTGTTAGTTGTGGAAACACTTATCAAGTAAAACATGAAGTATTTAATTTTGGCATTATCTGAACCAGTCCAATGGAATTGAATCTTTATGGGAAGTCTGATATGAAGAATTGTAATTAAGTAGATTTTGGAGGTCCTAAGTTTTATAGTATGTATTAGTTGATAGCTATATCAACAGAAATGAAGACTTGACAGCGTAGGAGGAGTCAGAGCTGGACCCAGGATCAGTGTGGGAAGTGTTGGAATTGGGAGCAGAGTTCAAAATTTTCCAGCTTGACCATTGTGGAAGCAGGAAATGGCAGTTTTGATCATTATTTGACTGGGAAAGAGATACAAGGCCTGAACAGGACTAGAATAAGGAACGTTTGACATTTTCCCTCTTCCCTGAAAGGCAGGCATGTGTGGATACCATAGCAACATTGTGTTAAATGTGCATAAAATACTGTTTCTATTTGGATTTGATAGCCTGATTGAATTCTAGTCTGAGAGGATATTTTTGTTTTAAAGGTCAAAAAGTCATTTGGAGCAGTGCCCCAAGTACATAATTTCCCAGAAGACATGTGATTCAGCCAAGTGTGTAACAACACCTGTGCTGTTAGCGGAAGGGACAGTTATACTGCTGAATTAGTGTCAGGCTGAGAAAACAGACTAGGTGCCATTAGTTTAGCTTTGACTTCTGTTCGGAGGAATCAGGAGTTCAGTTCAGAAGGGGGACAGATTGCTTTTAGCAAGTGAATCAAGGTTTCGGTTCAGGGGACCCTGTTGGTGTGTCTCAGTCTCTCTCCCATCTTGCTCCCAAAAGTTAAATTGGAAGTCATCGTCTTGTTTTACTGAAACTTCTCTTGGGTTCAGTCAGAATTGGAAAAGGTCATCTAATATGAGAAGTGAACTGGCCAGAGGCAGTTAATTTGAGAAAAAAATTTCTCAAGTCTAATATCTTTCTTTGGGTTTGAGTATCTTTAATGGAGAGTATTAGGGAAATAAGTTGCTCTGTTAGTTTCAGACATTTCACACAGCTTTGCTTACTCTTGCGTAATTTATTTTTTTTTGTTGAAGATCATTTGTGACCTTGAGATGTTAGTCACTAAAATTGCCATAATCCCAAAGGCCAAAAAACTGTTCTCGAGAGAGAGATGCCAAGTGATAGTTGAACCTGAGGATCACCACACCTCCAGGTGGAATTAGGTGGGGTGGGGGGAGGGTTGTGAAATGAAAGAAGAGGTTGAGAAGGAAGAACACTTTTATGATTCAGCCAGCATGGAAATAGACTGGTGTTACCCTGCATTGCAAACCAACTGTCTCTAATAGAGCTAACTAACCATCACAGTAATCAACTGCAAGAATGTAACTTTTTTTTTAACCATATGTCAAACTAGGTTTCACTCTGGGATCTGACCTATCCGGTATGATTGTCCATCAGCTGGGATGATGACTTTTCTAATTTGGCGATTGTGTAAGTTGTCTGTTAACACCTCGCTATGTGTACAGATTCGAAGACAATGTGGTGGTGGTCGGTTCAGGAAGAAGCCAGGAGCTCTTGCACTGTTGTGGTTGTGTATGAAAGTGCACTTAGGACATCCGTAGTGAAGAATAAATGGTTGTGGCTTTGAAACGCAGAACGTTGGAAGGGTCAAGAAAAGCTAGCAAGAGATTGGTCAAGGGAGGGGGAAAAGTGGTCAGGGTAGGGAGGAATAAGGTTCAAGTGAGGCAGGGATAGACTACAATAATGGGCTGACCCAGGCGGTCTTGTTTATAGATTATGGGACGGAGGTAGAAGTGGGCTGCCTACTATTTGAATACAGATGGAGTTGGTGTAACAAAAACACTGGTAGGTGGAATAAAATGCAAATTTGTCTGCATTGGTCAGAAGAATAGCAAAGTGGCATTCTATTTAACTAGAACCATGGCATAGAGGGTGTCCTGGTGTATCTCACGGAAGTAGTCTACAGGCTCAACAACTGATTTGGAAGGCTTTGAATGTTGTTCGTTACAAGGGGAATGGAATATTAATGCAATAAAACATTCCTACCATGTGGTTTCACCAACACTCTGTCAGTTTTTTATTTTATTGTCCCTCATTAAGAAGAATGCCTCTGGCCTAATAACAGTCTGGAGAAGGCTTACCTGACTGATACCTGGGATGAGATCGGGGAGGGTTCAGTGGAGGTGCTGAGGGGGGAAAAAATAAACTGGACAGGCTGGACCTGTACCCATTGTAGTATGTGAAAGAGGTGATTTTTATCAAAACACAAGATTCTGAGGGAACTTGACAAGCTGAATGTTGGAAAGGATGCTTTAGATTCACAGAAACCCCCTACAGTGTGGAAGTGGGCTATTTGAGCCCACACTGACCCTCTGAAGAGCATCCCACCCAGACACATCCCCTACCTTGTCTCTCTAACCCTGCATTTCTCATGGCCAATCCACCTAACCTACACAAGTTTCGAGTGTGGGAGGAAACAGGAGGATCCAGAGGAAACCCCCACAGACACTGGGAGAATGTGCAAACTTAACACAGTTACCCAAGGAGTGAGGCAGCAGTGCTCACCACTGAGCCAAAGTATCATCTTTTACTTTTAAATGCTTTGCTGCAGATATTTAAATGTTATAGTAATGTAGGAAATCTCATTTCCCAGTTCGTAGAACCTTCGAAAGCGGAGACGGAACCAGGGGACGCTTTAAAAATAAAGGGTCTCCCATTTAAGACAGGTGAAGTTTTTAATCTTGGCAGGTGGATCCGAAGTTTTCAGAACTCCCTTCCTTGGTGAAATGGAGGATAGGATTATTAATGCTCATTTTAAAGCAGACTTGAATAAACCCTTGACGAATAAGGAAGTTGATTGGTATGAGTGGTAGATGTGAATGTGGAGCAGGGGGCACAATGATATTATGAAATGTATGCCAGCCAAGAAGGGCTGAATGGCCTACTTTTTGCTTTGAATTAATTTATTCAAATGTTGATAAGGGCTTATGAGGTGGGAGGCCGAGTAGGAAAGATCGAGAGGAGATTGGGTCATGGGTCAGTTCTGCATCATGTGGATATATACTTTGAAGACAGAATCATTGTCCAGGAGAGAAGAAAGGAAGTATCAGTTAGCTTTCAGCTTCTGCACAGTAGAAGTCAATCCACCAGAGAAATGGCTTGCCCTTGTAAGCAGGTTTGACTTTATTAGCAGTGGACCTGAGAGAATGAAATGTTTCAAATGCAGAGGATTGGACTGAGTGAGGAGAGCAGAGAAATTGAGATGTATGGTATTAATCGTTCAATATTGTGGGTCTGAATGGCCGTCCAATCTGAAATGATGGAGGGCACTTTTTGTTTGGCTTCAAATACTGAAGGGAACAAAAAAAATCTCTGACTGAGACAATGGCCCTGAATCACTTTGGACAATTTTTCAGCGTGGATGGATTTTGTTTTGAAGTTGTTTTAATTTGTTGCCTGGGAGATGGCTGAAACCTCTGGCAGGCTAGAAGGTCACAGTTGCCATGAAGTTATTGGCTCATGCACATTCAGATGCTGTGCCCCATTCTGTATCTGTGGATGGGTTGTTTAATGAACAAGCTAAACAAGAAGAATGATGGACAGTGAGCGTACTGGTCACTTGAGTCAGGGAGATGTAGCCATCACGCATGTGAAGGAGACAAAGTCTTTGCCCAGACTATCTACCCAAAAGACCGTTTAGTGAAACAGTGACAATGTTGTGTTCAATTATAACGTGAGAATATTTGTTTGTGTTCCACACTCCTAACTCATCTGTGTTGGTCAGAGTCTAGCCTGGAGCCGAGATGTTTGGTAGTGTTTCCTCCGCTAACATTTAGTATGGCAACTGTATAGTGAATGAGTGATTTCTGATAGAAATCTGGTCCATTTCAGAGTTCTCGGTTTTGCGAAGAAAATCTTGACTCTGTTTTGGTGCATTTGCACTTTGATTGGGACTTGGCCTTAGCAAAGACGTTTTAACGTATAAAATGACAGGAAAATGTCATGGAATGCTCCCATTTTAAATGGTTTATATATCTTGAAAGATTTCAATATTGAAGGAAAGAAAAGTGAAATAATGACTAAGATGAGCTCATACAAACATTAAAATGCACAGAACTTTCTTGAACACCGATTTGAGGAGGAAACATGTTAGAATTCCCAAATAGCTAAGTTTATCCAGTGAGTACCTGGACAATACACAACGTGGAGCAATACTTTACTTTATCTCTGGTCGAGACTGAACTAGCTTGTCTTGACCGGGAGCCATTGGCACACAATGATTGCATAGCTCCTTAGTTAGAAGGGAAACTTAATATAGTCTTTCTTGTGAGGTGATTGAAATATAGTTGCGTTGGGCAGTATTTCAGGCTGTGTTGAGGTTGGGAATAATGCAGCTTCGGTTCCAAAAATGCAGCTGCTGATTCACAATTTGGTGTCCTGATCCTGTTCTTGATGTCAGCTATCGTGTGTGTGTCTCTCTGTCTGTGTCTATCTATTTGTTTAGACCTGGTAGAGCTGTCCATCCACTTGTTAAAGCTCGTTTATAGAGATTGACTGACTGGCAGGAAATTTCTGTTGGCCTCCCATTTCATAACATGGTATCAGTGTAACTGACTACTTTAGAGGTAGGCACCCAGCAG